TTTGTACACTTTGCAGTACATACATTACATTTTTTTATTATATTCTAATTTTCATATCTTAATTATGTAGATTTTAAATTTATCCTTTCAGATCTAAACCTCCATAAAATATTTTCTCATAAATATTTTGCAAATTATGAACTTAAGCAGTGGCATTTGCACAGCCAAACACTTTGCTCTTGTTTAAAAAATTCTGCATATTATAAATCGTCTTACAGATCATCTACATTAAATCTCGCGATTACATTTCACGATTTCTGCATTTTCTTATCGTAGAACGAGTATCTCGTAGATCATTATGATATGTGGAGCTGAAGAAAAACCCGAGTGACTCGTGACTCGCTGCGAAGAAGAATAAATCCGCGGCGATCGCGGCCGTGCGATCGAATCGCCGGATCCGTCGCGATCGGTTTAGAAAGTTCAGGATGCGCGGAGGCACGAGGAGGCATCTTCTCTCGCTCTCTTTTCTCTCTCTCTCTCTCTCTCTCTCTCGCTCGGCTCGCAATAAATGCGCAATCCGCGATTCTGTCTTAATCCGCGAGCTGTCACGGCCAGAATAGCCTCCCAATAAAATTGCCGCGTGAAAGACTACATTGTTCCACGGCGCTCGTTTATGTAATCGGCGAATTATTGCTGTGATTATTTGCGTTTTGATTTGTACTGCCGATATTGTGTCCGACCAGCTTGGTCGGGCTTGACTCGCGATCCAAGATAATGAGGATGCTGCGAGCTCTATCGTAATATCTAATGATGGAAGTAACGTCATGGAAGGACTGAGATCGATCTACGGCTATTGTCTCGTCAATTAGGACATGAATTAGCATATCAATTCTTTACCAGGGAAGTTTATGAAGCTTATAGTTCACAGATCACGCTATCGATAATCTATTGTACATACGTAAAATTGTTATGAAATCGTTTTGAGATATCTTATTACATCTAATAATCTATAATAATTTTCTTATATCTTATTAGATATCTAATAGTAAAATTTTCTATTTAATTATATTAACATTACCGCCTTTCCCCACCCCCCCTATTTTCTGACGAAATTGTTACCCAATTTTTGTATCTTATTTGTTATAACGTGTGCGATATATTATACGTTATTTTATATGATAATTAATGATCAGGAAAAAGCGTCAAAATATTTGTTGACGTTTTCAAGATAAGCTCAGAATATATAGTCATTTATAAATATAAATGTAGTAAATTAAATCACTCTAGAAAGTCGGCGCTTGATTCGATTTTGAAGAAGCTATGCGCGTTTACTATAATCTATCTCTGCATTAATCTAGTAATTAGAGGCAAAAAGAAAGTTATCTGGTAATTAGAGATTAAAACGAAAGTATCGCTTAAACGGCGCTCCACACACAGCGTATATCATCAGCCCGGCGTTTCTATGAGCTTCTCGCTAAGTCGAGAAATCGAGGAGGATTAATTTATTTCGATTATAACATTCCGCTGCTGCAAAGCTTTTTCTGCACGTTCCGTATTTAGGGAGGCGACAGCGCACCCATCTTGGCGATGCGAACGACGACGAATGCGAATGCATAACTAACGCGAAGATTAATCGCACGAGATTAATCACACGAATGCGATAGAAGATAATTGCATTATCGCAAATTGATTCGCCGTACTCTCGCGCATTTTCCTTCTGCTGCATTCATTTCTCAATCAAAAATTTATTATTATCCCGGTGAATAAATGCGAGATTAAACGCGCAATATTTTTTACGATGTAAAAGATAAAATATTAATATTTGAGAATATTTTTGCGCACATGAATTTTTTACTTTCGAAGAAAAAATGGTATCTGCAGTTTTAATTTATGCGAAATGCGACATTGCGCCTCTCGGAGACGATTTCGAATTCACTTTCCTCCGCGTAAAATTAGAGCCAGCAGGTAGACGACTACTAATTAGAAACGAGAAACGGCCAGCTTCCTGACTTCCTGGCCGCTTAACTAACGGCGACAGTTGTACTTCTCATTACTTCTCACAGTAAATTATTTCATCCCTCAATAATTATTTCTTTTTTATCTCATCAAAATCTTGAAACATATGATAGTTAATAAAAACATCTCCAGAAAATTATTATTATTTTTCTATATAATTATCATGTTTTTTAATGTGCTTTTTCAGCGGTTGAAAAAATTATATTGAAAATTGTGTAAAAAATATTGTTTTTTTGGTAAATAAATATTTTTTAATTTTTCCAAGGCTTGTTAACTTGTTCTCGTGTATAGTAAATCAAAAATAATTGCGCTTAAAACTTAACGATCGCGCGTGTAGACGAGAGTAAGATTGCAAGATCACGCTGGATGGTCAGTCTGGCCATGAAAGCCGGCTCAATAAAGGCGTGGCGATCCGATCGTCTTCGACGATCATATCATGTGATACCGCGAATCAGGGAAAGTCGTTCGCCGTGGAAACGACCACGGCCGCGGCCGATGTGCCGGTTTTACGTAAGGTGAAAATCGTCTCTCAGGAGCACGCAGGAAAGTGCACCGAAACGCGCAGAAACGCACACCTTACGAATCGCGCGCACGTATGCGAGCGGTCCGCGCGCGTCGCATACGAAACATCCCGTACACTATTTATATGCGCAAAAAACAATTTCGCGATAATTTATCGTTGAAAATAACACGCGATTCGTAGTGGAGAAGAAAAGAAAATTCGTGTATATTATTTAAATGAGTAATAAAGAGTCGAACGCATTGATTTACTATTCATTGTGTGCGGAAGGCCATGCATAATCGCCGCTGGCGAAAAATCGTAAATACCGCCCGGCGTTATTGAAATTCTCCATCGGCGTGTGTTTATGGAACCCGCGGCATCCTCCTCCGGTTGTTACATTGATTTACATCTCGATTGCACGCGCCTTTTATCCACGATCGACTAAGCCGTGGCCGGATTAAGCGGACAGATTGCCTCGCGATTTTTTCCCGGCTTAACGATCGTACGCGGGAGAATGTAAATGAATATCTCCGGACCGGACGGGCCTGACAAACTATGATATATACGCCTTCGCCTTCGCGGAGGGAGGCTGGGTGCAGGATACTCGGACCCGGGAATGATCGAACCGCGCCGATCATTCATAACTGCCGCACAAACGTATCGAAGAAGTGCGCCGGGGATCGCGGGAGCGTGTTATCTCGGCATCATTTATCGACGGCGACGGCCGAGCCACGATTCGTTTATGATAAATGGGGATCCGATAAACTTCGTGTCTGCTTTACAATCGCAATAAAGTGCACAATGCGAGCCGCGCGTAAAAGCACGCTGCGACTGCACTTGTGCAATCCGACCTTGAAGCTATGCAAGTTGTACGATTGCCAAATATTGTGTCCACTTCGGGAATTTTTTGAGTTTCTTATCCAAGTCCTGCTCTTAAAAAAGGCATGTAAATTTTGATATTATAATATTATTTTTATTAAAGATATAGTTATAATACATGTTTCTTTATAATTAAAAGAATAAAACGCACGTAGCGCGCACTGATGTGTTTAGTAGTTTTTAAACGTTATATTAGTTTTTGGATAAAACTGAAAAAATTAGAAAACTTTTTGATATCATTAAGTAAATAATAACTTTTGAAATTATTGACTTCAATTTATAAATTAATAATTACAGCAAAGTATTATTTATTTTAATTTTGATATTGCACTGTTATTTTAATGATAAAGTTTAAAATTTATTGTAATTTTAAAAATCGTTAATTATATTTAAAAAGTAATGGATAATCATAAAAAAGGGGAAAAAATTAGATTGCACGATAAAAGAATGAAAGGATTTAATTAGACGTAAAAATTTTCACAAAACATGAAAAAATTATAAACTTTCTGTACTTATATGAGTGCAGAATCTATAATTTTCTTTCTGTTTAATTATCGCGTTGAGAAATAATTCGGGTCGCGAAAACCATCAGCCGATTCTTCGTCATCCAACGAACACACCGTTATAACGCTTACTTGCGACCTGAATTATTTTCAGTGCAACGCGGCCGGCCATTGTTCCGATGGACTTTCGAACGTTCCCTGCGTATGCATATGCGAGTAAATTCTTATTTATCATTTATCGCACGTACGAAATCGGCATACGTGGCGCCGCGGGCGAAATAAAACGCCAGGAATAAAAGCGCAACACATGGATGCACGATTTCTTACGATATTATAATTTCAAATGATTTATAAAACGTTCGTAAAATTTTCTAAAAATTTATTGTAAAGAAATGACGAGCGGAGAAAGCTCTTGATTGATTACGGTAAAATTATGAGATTACAGAACGCTGGTTGAACAATTTCTAAATTGCGTTCTCGACTATGTATTTCGTCATGGACGTTTGCTCGCAGCAAAAAGTTGCCTAATTAGTAGCAGTAATTAACTCGTGCTTAAGAAGGTCAATCAATCGGTTTACGTCGCTCGTCGATTCACATTAGACGGCGCCTGTTCCCTCCTCGTGCCGCGGCTTCTCGACAAATATTGACACTGACGGTGAATGTCACACATCCTTCGAAGCTACTGACCGTCCGCAAGAGCACACAAAGACCGGACAAGTTTATTTGCCTCGGTTATTCTTTTACGCCTCCGAGCGATTTAGCAGCAATTAGTGTGGCTTGTTATTACGTTATTATTCTCTCCGAGACGAAATTGTTAGAACGACATTAGCGTTTTATGCGTTGATTCGTGTCTCCAACATTATATGTTCAGTATACAGAATGTCTCTCTTATGATAATTTGAGAATATTCTGTATTTTCTAAGATCTTATCTATATTGTATCATTCAGTGTATTATAATTTCGACATGCTTATGTATTACTACATGTTTATGTAATCAATCGCTTCTTTCATTAATTAAACACCAAAATAAAAGTTCTTGATTTCATTTATCTGACCGGTTCGCACATCCTACCGACACATTATATAATTTATATAAATTATTAAAAGTATTTAAGCCGTTTCGAGAAAATTAGTTCTAAGGATGCTTTTTTGCTTTCAGGCTGAAGAAATTAATCATATCGTAGCCATGAACCTCGCGCTGCATGGATTTTTGCTGCAGGGTAAGTTTCGTAATTTTTCGATCATTTTGAAAGCAACAGGCAAAATTTATTTTGCAATATACCTATGTGAGTTAAGTTAATTTGATTAATTTGACACTTGACAAACATAATGACGTAAGGAACTTATTAATTATTTAACTCTCACATATCATAAAAGAAAAGATGGATGAGATCATCGATAAAATATTTCTTTTTAATCTTTCTCAATAGATAATCATATGACGAAATCATCTTTTCACTCAGCGAAGAAATTAAAAATGATCTGCTGTTAATTTTTAATTTTTGTTTCGGTATTTTGCGACTGCAAGCTGCACGAAACACGCAGTTTGTCCCAGTTCCGTGACTCATCGCGCATATTCGTATGCAGGTGACATTTTTTCCCGTGCATCCTCTCCGCGGCAGGATGCACAAAACTCGCGTCCCACGATAAAATCAGTCTTCGGCGTTTCCGAGGATTAAGCCGCGGGCTAATTCGCGCGCGAGACGCTTGCCTATCGAGGATGTCCTCGAGAAACGTCCGGCTAACTGGGTTTTCGTGCCGAGACCAAGGTGTTTCCTACGTGAACGTAAACACGCGCGTGACGATCGAGTACGCGAGTTGCGTACGATTCAGGAATCGCGACTGAATCGTCTCGCGCGTGGGACGGGGGACGCGCGGTGCAACACGCCGCGGGAATCGCGAATGAATCGCCTCGCGCAATCGGCGCCGTGCATCGCGTCATGCAAGTAATTATCATTATTGTAAGAAAAATATAAATATCGAATTATACACAGAAGCTTCAAATTTCAATATAAATTAAATATCAGATGAGAAATTCAAGTAATTCCATTTTTAGAGAATCATAGAGAAAGAACTTTTGATCGAAGAACTCGAAGAGCACATAAAAATCTTATTTATCGTTTAAATTTTTATGATTAATATTTATTTTATAATATTAACATTTTGAAAACTTTTTTACTCCCTCATAAAACTTGGAAGATCACTGGTCGCAAAGATCGCTATTTTATTGGCATATTTGCCACGGCGAAGAGTAAGATAAAAATTCAATGATATACACTTGTAAAATATAATATAGATATCAGTTTATAGCTAGGCGATAGAAGCCTCGGCGGTAAATAATGTTTAGAGGCCGAGCAATAGCTGTCGTGGAGAAGCTACGTTAGTGCAAGTTCGAACATATAAATTCGCGAGTGGATTACGAGAAGGAATTCCACACCGCGATACTCGGCGCCGAACGCGCCGAGTCGGAGGACGAAAGGATTATATGTATGACACCGTACAGGCATTCTGTGCAAATCGCATATAAGCGGCTCATCGGACCACCAGCTGTGATCACGAGGTATAAAATGTAAATCCTGCGTTCTCACACATTGCGTATTCACAGAGCGACCGGGCAAAATACGCATTATGCGCTGTTTCGCGATTAAACATTTCGTGGAATAATATTCAATTAGCATCGTTTAATTCAATCGATATGATTTTTATCGATTAAAAATTACGCAGATTTACCTTAAACACAAATTATTACTTTAAATGGACAAGATATTATACTTTCCGTGCAAAAATAAAATATTTAAAGATCCTTCCGTTTTGTAAATAATAATTTCTCCACGTAATATTTATTACTCATTTTGTAATCTATTATTCACAAAATCTTCATATTGCAAGATTCACGAAACACGCTCGATGTTAGATATATATGTAGCTGTTTAACTCTCGAGTTGTAATAAAATGGCATACATTATCGATGTTAGATAAATCAGAGATGGCACCGGACGCCCATACATTTCGCGCTAAATATGGGATGCAAAATACGGGGCGCAATAATGCGAGAATTGGCATGGGACTGAATGATGCGCCGGGTGGGTACGTATCTACTGTGATTCCATATACACGTTCTGCATAAAAATACCGTCTATTCAAATTGACGACGGACATGGAATGCGGTCTCGTGGGATATTCGCGCGGGAAACGTACGTATATGCATCGCGGTCGAAACACGTGGGACGTCCGGCGATCATCCTCTGATTTGCGCCTTTTATTGTGGTCCGTTTGCCTCCAAGGAAACTTTTCCTTGGCAGATTTATAAGTTTCCGTCCGCCAAGGCCGCTCGCCAGTGTGCAATTTTGTCGATAAATCAACTTTAACCTGAACTGGTCGATAAATCAATTTAAACCCTGAACTGGTATAAAAAAGTAAAAAAGATTCCGAAAAATATGAAACTTATTTCTGTTTTCTGCTTTTTATATGTATTTTATGTTAATTACAAATTATAAAAACGTGTTCTTAAAACAGCTCTCGTTTAATTAGTCTGAAAATTATATCATTTGTGTAATTAATATTAGGAAAAATTTCGATAAAGAAATTCAATGTTTTATTAATTAATTTATTGCTCGTTACTTCTGTTAATTGCATTCAATTCGCAGATATTTGCGCATTACTTTCGCTAAACTTTGACAGTTACTGTCATAACTGATATTATGCCCATGTTGATGTATTCATTTATTTGCATTTTTATTCAATTTGCAAAGAATTCCGGAATTTTATTTTTTTTATACTTTCTCTCCTCCTGCGCGAACCGCTGCGACTTGATTGCATTACGCGATAGATTTGCAAAAAAGCGAGCAAAACACTTCATTATGTAGCCGTGACTTTCATCTGAAGTTCTGCTACTGTATTAATTAAAATGTAGGTATGCGTGTTGCGCTGCTTAATTTCGCGTTTCCGCATATGTTCCGGTATTCTGCGCACTGAGTAAATCTCACATTTATAATTCAATGAAGGTAAACTTTCTGACGTGTTTAGCGTGGCGCATTACGTGAGATATGTAATATCACGCTTAAGATGATACAAGTATTAAAAGGAAGCATTTTCGAATAGCAAAAGTCACAAAAATATTCTTTTCGAACATGTCTCTTATTACTTGCAAGTAAAAAGGAGAGAAGTCGTGACCTCTCGATCTCCGAGTTGAAGCATGTGGAGTTAAAGAGGTCAAATAGTTGCGTAGAAAAGATGTAGCGTTCGGTCGATCATTATAAACGAAGATCGATCATCGTCGAACACCGCGTCTACGTCTGCGAGGGCGTTCATCGCACCGCGTGACGTCGCGCCGCAGATGGAAATCCGTTGCTGTATGCACGAGGAAAGTTGCCGTGACTGTGAAGCATGTAACTCGCGAGAGTAAACAAAGTAGATGCGGAAAGCAAGCAAGACATCTGAGCCACTGTTGGTTCTATCTATTTGCGATTCATTATTGTTATTAATTTGCCAAAATACTTTCGCGCATGGTCGATGATGAATCTTGATGACTTAAACTCTGAATATGGTGCTTTCAAAATATCTGCACCGAAAATCGAAATATTTAGAGATAAAAAAATAGCAAGAGTTTGTCAATATATTTAAAGTTTAAATTGTTCAATAAAAAATGAGCAAAAGGTGGTTCTGTGTTTCTTTTTCTTGTAGCCTTGAGGCGCTTGTACCATTCTTGATTGACATTACTCTTTCTTATTTACGTAATCACATAAAAGTTAGGCAAAAGAGATCTACGAATGTAGAAAATAATTAATCTTATATATATAAGACTTTGTCCCGCACCGAATGCGCGCTCATAAATTCACGCGTTACTCCGATAATGCTACGCGAATTTCTTTTACGTAATTTCGCACGATCTTCAATGCGCTTTTCATTTGGCGCACAATGTAAGCGATTGGCTTTCACTTTGCTTGTGTTCGATTAATGCATCGCGCACTGTAATACATACGATAATAGAAAATTCATACTCATTCCGGACAGAAATATCCGACGCGGACAGAACTGTCTCTGTGTCTGAATTAGCGTCGTATTCAAGTAAGAAACAAACAGAATATATGCATAACTTCGAAAACATTTGCTTCGCAATTTAAAAGTTTAAATTTAAGATATTTAAATAAAAGAATATCCAAAATGTAAGTAATTCTCTATATTATTTCTAAGATAAAAATAATTAAAAAGTATATATGGAATATTAAGCATTAATAAATACAATAAGAGAGATATCAGCTTACTCTTTTAAACGTATAGTTATATATTGTACATATATTATTCACAAAGAGAGAGAGAAGAAAAGACTAAATTTATACATCGTGAATTTTGACATTATGTAATTATCGCGTTGCAAATGTCATAGTGTTATCCATGTAAACATTTTTTTCAAATCGATAATGACGCATGTTCGAGCGATAATGTCAGTCTCTTTTGAAGATAAAATCTTCACAACCTTATAATCTCGTTCCAAAAAGTTGATCGCTTTTTTTTGTGATGTATGCTGTTTCCTTCGGCAACAAGTATCGTTACAGACAGGTCTGTAAAAATTCGCGATAGATAACAGTGAATGCGAGTTACCGTTCGGTCGCGGACACACAGGTACACACATTTCCTCGACTCCTGTCTCGCTCCGCGGACTTTTCTCTCCTTCCCTCCCGCGGTATTCCTCTCTTTCTCTCCCTCTCTTTCTCTTCGCGGCGTGTGTCTCACTTTTCTCCTTACGTAACCGCGTAACTCCGGCGCAAGGATGCGGTTAGACCTTTCGAAGCGTGTCTGTCGACGGTGCCGATGTCACGTAAGACGCACATTAGTCAGTCGATCTTAATTTCACTCTCTCACACGATCGGACACGCATTTTCGGCGATGTCTCGCCTGATAAAGTTCGAAAAATCGAACAGCTGAAAGGTGTGCTCGGCGATGCGTTCGAAATTGCATATTTTACATTCTGTACATTTTTCTAAGTATCTTGTTTATTTACGAAACGCTTCAATTAAACCCTTCCGGTTCAGTGAGCTTAATTGGATCATGCACATTATCCGCTTATGCAATGCAATGAAATGCAATATAAATGAGTTCATAAATTGTTCGAGAGAGTCATGTGAATCGAGCATTTAATTCTATATTATTAATGCAGTTTATTTAAAATTGATTTGGCAATGTAAAAAATGTAATTCGTCGGAAATGCGATCTTTCGCCG